AATATCATCATCATCATCATCATCATCATCATCATCATCATCATCATCATCATCATCATCATCATCATCATCGTCATCTGTATTCTCATTATTATTTGTAGCATTTCTATCAATATTATCATTTTTACAATTGTTATTAATGTCGTTGTTGTGTTTCGTGTAATTTCTATTGTTCTAAACATCACCAATAGTGTTATCATCTTGATCATGATCATAATTATTATTGTCATTGGTGTTATTAACATGACAATCAATAATTTTAATGGTTATTGTTACTATCATTATTATGTTCACAGCCGTCGGCGAAGCTGTTTTCCCGCTCGCTCCTAGTCCAAAAGCTCCCTGTGATAGCCATGGCCAAGCAGACGATGACGACGACAACGATATTGTAGTCAGAGACAAACTCATCATCGCCTTGTCGCCTTCTCGCGATGGTGATGATGATGATGATGATGATGGGAGCATTACTCGCTTCACCGACGATAGTCGTGCTAACAGGACCATGAGCGTCTCAACAGTGAGTGAATTAGGGTAAACTGCCCTGGGTGCGACCAGACCTAGGTGCAACCACTTTCTATCATTATTATCATTTTTACAATTTTTAATAACGCCATTGTTCTACATAAAGCAGAAGAGCAAATATAATGAACAGAGCACATTCTCTTGGATTGTTTCTTGACTTATGATCCACTTCCTTTTTCATGTCCTTTTTTATTGAAGGAACATTTAAAGAATGTTTGTTTCAAAACTTGGTTTGTGAGATTGTTAGGTTAGTTATTCTAGTAGAGATTTTTTAAAAGAAAGAAAATAATAATTTCAGCTTCCAATACTGTTATTTTCTTCATGATGAGTCATTTATTATTTACTACTGATTATGATAAACATTTGCAGTCCATAAGACAGCGGAATGTCGGTGGTTGCACCAAGGGCATGGCGAAATTAATCCAGACACTATGTACAACCAGATTGGTTGCGGGTTGGGAATGGTGATTTGTTTTAGTCGGACCAAGATACAACTACTTCTTGGGCCATGCGAAAATAATTCTTTCTAACCTCTGGCTATGATTATTTACAATTATTATTTTCATTTCTAGCTAGCAGTTGTGTAGAA